TTTTTCTCCCTTTTACTACATAAACAAAAAAAAGTAAAAGACACTTGGTAACGAAAAGGTTTTGGTTTCGAATGATTTATTTCCCAACATGACAATTTCATTTATACGCATCGAGATATATTCCATCCCACGTGAATTTTCAATAATCCTTAACCGTAGCGTCGAACATCCTTAGTAGCGTGTCTCTCACCGATACGCCATGCACGCCATGCTTCCTCACGAAAGGCAGATGCGGAGAATTTGCGACAGGATCAATGAGAGGATGCGCAGAGAAGCCAGGCTGAGAGTCTTGAAGCCGCTCTCCGCATGCGTTGATTTGGGCGAGACCGTCGGCGGGGAAGAGAAAGCGTTAAAACACGTTCGGAACGTCAAGTCAACTCTGGAATTCTTCTGCAAGGAATGCAACATTCGTCTGCAGCCATTCCAGCGGGATATGTGCAACGCGGTCATGGCCGGAAGGTTCAACAAGGTGTTAGGCGACCGAGCTTCCGAGCTTCGAATTCCGGCGTTGCGCATCCTCGGCGTCCTCTCCGAGGAGGAGGCCGAGTCGCTGACGGAACCCGCCAGGTGACATCCCGCCGTGCGCCAGGCGGCCGTCAGAAAAGCTGGAAGAATACGACAGGAAGTTTACCGTCGTTCGGCGCTCCTGGTGCACGAATCAGGCATATCCGTTGTCAACTGGGCGCAGGATCTAAACTGCGCCCGCACCAATCGGGAGGACATCATCAAGCTGCTGGAGATGGGCCGGCGGAGGTACGGAATCTCGTTCCAGGGCGTCCCAGACGGCGTGAAGGTGACGCAGAGATTTGGCGCAACCGCAAACTTCAGGAGCAAACCAAACACTGCGAACGTGAGTGATTTCATATTTGTTTTCTTAGCGTGCGTACATATCTTTTGGCAAAACCTCGGCAGCGCTCGGCGTTCCCGGCTTTCGTCGCAGGTCTCGCGTACATGTTCAAGGCGCACAGCGAAGGCGACGATCGTTCGAGACTCGTCGAACTCGTCAGCTCGTGTTTGGGCACGACTTTCAAGAGTTCGCACAGGACCAAGTGGGCGAGGTGCAGCGAGGTAGATAAAATGCAATTCGAAGCGGCCGTCGCGCTCGGAGGGTTTCTTGCCGACGAAGTCGAAGACGACGAGGAAAGGGAGGAGGAAACCGACGATCGGCGCAAGAAGGCGTTCGTCCGGTACTTCTAAGACACCCTCCTTCTTCCGCACCACAGCAAAATTGCGGCGGCCGTTGCCAACCTGGACGAGACTCGCAGATGGCTGAGATCTGATCGGGACGAACGGAAAACGTCCAACCACGTCGTCCCGAAGACCGACAGGGTGCACGAGTCGGCCATCATCAGAGTGGTACTGGCGCATCTGAACAGCGTCAAGACCAAACCGTTACATCCGATGCTTAAGAGGGTGTTGGAGTTCACGCGAACCAGCTGACCGTTCAACCTCTTGTTCGTCCTGCCTGACAGATCAGCCGTCTTGTCGCGTGCGTCCTCATGCTGAACGACGTTCGCGAACGCAGGTTTCTACCGTCCCGAGTGACCAATGCCCTTTCCCTTTTGAGCGAGGAGGAGGCGTCGGAGATGAAGAGCGT